GTTACAAGTTCCAGATATTTGTATTTTAAGAGCATTCCATGTTTATTATTTAACAGGCCAAACACTTTGCTAGGAAATCAAAAGCATCGATTCCACAAACTGAGGTTTATAAAATAGATCAGTGCAGGGAGTATCTGCAGACATTCCAAACACTAGCCACATCCCCCAGAAACACTCTAACAGGTTGGGGTCCTACGTCCCCCAGCCCTCCCCCAACCCCACACCTCTCACAGGAAGTTCAATCTTTCCTTCTAGGCACAAAAGGTGGGGGAGGGGCACAAAGTGAGCAAGCACTCAATAAACTTCAAAGCTATGGGATATGATGGTCGTGAATTTTCCTCCTAGCTCAGACCTAAACAATCTTTCAGTTCAAACTCTCTCCCTCCTTTCAGACAAAAAAAAAAAAAAAAAAAAAGTCAGGCCAGCATTCCAGGCAGTTGCCAGCTCTATCCCTAGTTACACTCTCAGATCTCCATACAACCCAGCCCCAAGAGCTATTAGAAAACTAGTTAGCAGTCTAAGTCTGGAAACTAATATCACCCAAACACAATGAGGAGTGAACTTTTAAGTCTGGATGTCACTAGTAAGGTTCCTTTACCCTCCTTAATTTCCCAGAAATATGCATATAAAAGCAATTCTAGCCTTGCCTAAGCACCAGATGGCTACTGAGGGAGTAGGCGCTACACAGGGAGGCCAGAAGGGGCCAAAATGATGATGGCCCAAGACAGATGCTTATTTCTTTTATTGCTTTCCTCTATAGATTCTTTTTTTTTTCTGTATTGATGTTAGAGAGAGATGGAAACGTCAATAAGAGAGAACAATGACTGGCTGCCTCCTGCATGCCCCTCACTGGGGATTGGGCCCACAACCTGGGCATGTGCCCTGACCTGGAATCGAACCAGCAACCTCTGGGTGTATGGGTTGATGCTCAACCACTGAGCCACACCGGCTGGGCTCCTCTGTAGATTCTTCAACTTTCCTCAGCCCAGGCCCGCAACTCAGACAGTGGGTCAGTTCATAATAAGAAGTAAAAACTCACAAACCTCCCACTCAAACCCAAACTGATTTTATGCAAGACCTGAAAGTTTTCACCTGAGATGAAATGGCATGTAATTTTCCAAGATACTGCCAGATATAGGCAGACCTTGAAAATACTGTAGGTTCAGTTCCAGACCACCACAATAAAGCCAGCACCACAATAAAGCAAGTCATAATCCTTTTCCTTGGGATTGGGTGGGGTGGGGTAGGGTGGGGTGGCTTGCCTTCAACGTGCAAAACACAAAACTTCTCTAAGTACAACAAAACAGGTATGCTTGTACTGGTAACTGGCTTGTTACTAGTATCATAATAAAATTAGAAAATTTTAATTAACATCACAGCCTCACCTGCTAGAAACCAAGTTTCTTTATTCCTGGCGCCCAATCTAGCGCTCGCTCACACATCCACCTGGCTTCAATTTCACAATTTATAAACGACACTGTTAACAAGCCTTTGTAATCAAGAACCTGTTTCAAAGCAGGATTTCTTAACCTTGGTGCTACTGACATTTACGGCCTGATAATTTTTTGTTGTGAGGAGATCTGTCCCGTGCATTGTAAGATGTTTAGCAACTATCCCTGACTTCTACCCACTTGATGCCAGTAGCACCCTCTCCCCAAGTAGTGACAACCAAAACCTGTCTCAGACATTGTCAAATGTCCCCAGGCAGGTGCATGGGAGAAGATGAAAGAAGGCAGGGTTAGTCACCCCTGGCTAAGAAGCAATGATGCAAGCTTATACCTTCTCAAAAATACCAGATGCCAAAAGACACTCTGGAGTTCTAAAGATCTGGGAACTGGATGCTGAGTTTTATGTACATATCCATCTGTACACCTGTATATGTGGTTATCATTGTTTTAAAAACTGAGAAAAGCAGGCAGCTACCACAAGAATGGCCCAAATGTGATCTATTTATTTATTTATTTATAATTGTCCTCTTTTCTCAAACCTTAAATCAGGTTCTCAACTCTGGCACCACTGACATCTGGGACCAGGGAATTCTTAGTCATATGGAGCTGCCCAATGCATTACAGGGTGTTGAGCAGCGTCCCTGGCCTCTTCCCAGTAGATACCAGCAGCAATCCAAGTTGTGACAACCAACATATCTCCCAATATTGCCAATGTCCCCTGGAAGGCAGAAGTGACCCTGGTTGAAAAGCGCTGTTCTACAGGAAGATAAATGTCTGCAAATATTTTTGTGTAAAAAGAATACATTAACCCTTAGGCCAGATAACTGAGGCTAGTTGAGATCCACTGCTTTAAAGCATATTGCCTGTTCACACTGATAATTCAATAAATACTAATTACTACATTAACAAGAGATGTTACTCTTCAAGAGACAACCCTATTCTGAGGGAACAGAAGAGAATAAAAGAGGGTGTTCCTAAGATGGAGAAAAAGAAACACACAGAACTATGGACACGGCCTGATGAACAATGGAGATACTGGAGGACTGTGGAAACTATTGCAGAAGAGAATGGAACATAGCCAGGGTGATTCTTTTTTTTTAAATCCTCACCCGAGGACATTTTTCCATTTTTTGTACAGATAGAGAGAAGAAGAGAGAGAGAGAGAGAAACACTGACGTGAAAGGGACACATCGAGTGGCTGCCACCCGCACAACCAACCAGGGCCAGGGACAAACTACAACCGAGGTACACACCCTTAGCGGAAAACGAACCCGGATCTCTCTGGACCACGGACCAACTGCTGAGCCAAACCGGCCAGGGCCTTTTTTTTTTTTAATCCTCACCCACAGATATTTTTCTGTTTATCTTCAGATAGAGTGGGAGAGAGGGAGAGAAGGAGAGAGAGAGAGAGAGAGAGAGAGAGAGAGAGAGAGAGAGAGAGAGATGTGAGAGAGACATATCAACTGGTTGCCGCCCGAATGACCCCGACCAGGGCTGAGGACCTAACCGCAACCAAGGTATGTGCCCTTGATTGGATTCAAACCCAAGACTCTGGTCCTTGGGCTGACACTCTAACCACTAGGTCATACCAGCCAGGGCAGCCAGGGTGATTCTTGAAAGCACAACTCAATGTGGAATTGACAAGGTGGCCAAGATGACTCTCAGATTAGGATGTGGCCACTGCAGCAATTCTTTGGGGCTAGGGCTCAAATAATAAATTGATCCAAACCACCAACTTACAGTGCATTGTGCTTTCCAGGTTTCAAAGCACTTCTCAGAGATCTGAATGCAGGCCAACCTGTTTCCCCTGAGAGAAAAAGCTCTAGTGGCTGGCCTCAGAGGCCCAGCTAATTCAGGATGGGATGGACCACCAGTTGTGGGTGGGGCATCGAGGACTTTCCAGAGACCTGTCCATATGAGAGAATCAAGTAGCCCTAGAATTCTTCCAAGACCTATGGAGATATCAGTCCTGCAGAAGGGACTACATCAGGGACCAAGACAGTGAGCAGCTTTCCCAGGTGCTCCAGTGAAGCACATGGAGGTCAGATGCCCGCTGGGCAGGGTCTAACCAAGGGCCAGGTCACATAATTTCATCCTTTTTGGGCAAAGAGCTGTACTCTCAACAACAATCTTAGAATCCCTCTAGATTAAGTCTCTCTTCCTTTAGGGTTTAGCTATCATCTGGAGTCTACAGACAGACCCCAAATGTCTTTAGCCCTAGACAAGCACTAGGATTGTGACTTTCCTCGTTAAGTGATAAAAGATACCAACTGTGTGTTATTGGAGAGTCATCCCTCTCCCCCCCTCCTCCCACCCCACAATAGACCTCTTCAAATCAGGAGTACAGCCTGGTTTGCCAACATGGCCCAAACAATTCCTAAAATTATTGCTCATACTCCGTGGAGTCTATTCACACCAACTCTACACCTAAGGTTTGTAACCTGGGATTCAAGAAATCTTAGGCTTCTTGTCCAGTCTTTCTAAAAGACCTATATAATCTGTCACATGTAAAACGCATATATTTTTGAATTCAGCATTCCACTTACGAAAATGTATCCTATAAATCCAATCCTCTCTGTGAGTAAAGATATTCACTGTCTATTTACTTTAGCAGAAAACTACTGAAAATTATCTAAACATCCATCAGTAGAGGACTGGTGAAATTAATTATGGTACAATTCATGGAATGGAATACCAAAAACCTATTAAAAAGATCCAAGAAACTCTAGGGGTATGTTCTAGTGCAGTAAATCCGGGGAAAGGGGTAGGAGGGGGGTTCCCCCAGGGACATTTGGCAGCAACTGAAGACATTTGTGATTGTCACAACTGGGGGTGCTCCTGTCACTGAGGGAATGGAACCCAGGGATGTTGCTTAACACCCCACAGTGCCCAGAACATCCCCTCCCAACAGAAAGTGACCCAAGGTGGAGACTTCTGACACATTTAACAAATAATTCAAAGTACAAAGGACTTTGTAGACTATGCTACACTACCTATGTGTGTTTATAAAGGAAAGGTATACACATACACATATCTTTGAAAACAGACATAAGGCGTCAGTGACAGTCCTTGTTTCTGGTGTCAGAATGCCTGGAGTGAGAAATTGACTTTTTACTCTACCCTTTCAACTTTGTACCAGGTCCATCCAAAGGGTTTTTGTTGTTTTTTGAAGAACTGCTCTACACACAAATCACACAAATTTTTCCTACCCATGGGCTATCTGGCAAGAGTCCTGTTTCTTCCCTTGTCCTTGCCCTTTTAGAGGGGAGGAAGGGGGTGGAGGGATCCACATCCCAGAGCAACCTCTGGGGTCTTCTCTGCCCCATCCAGGGGTCTAGCCACCCTTCTCGAGGTGACTGGAGTCCACATGGTGGGTAGGATGGGCCACTTCGCACGAAGCCCCCCGGCCTTCCTGGGCTCTCTCCACTCTGCGAGTAACACGCGCCAACGCCGCCCCTTCGGTGTCCCGGGTCCCACCCCGAACCAGAGCTGGGCCCAGCCTGGTCCCTCACTCCGGGAAGCCCGGGGCCCTGGAGTTCGCCCTCCGCTCACCTGGCTCGCCTTGTAGAACTGCTTCTTCAGCCCCGCCACCGACATTCTGCCTTTCGCAGTCGGACCTCCCGTCGGGACCCAGCGAACCGGAGAAACAGTGCAAGCAACAAGCTCCCGGGCGCCCCCAAGCCCCCGCGCGCCTCAGCTGGCCCCGTCGGCACCGCCTCCGCAGCCCTCTTGCCAGCTCCGCGCCCGCGCGGGCGCAGCCTCAGCCTCTCTCGCGCCCGCTCGGCCAGGATATTACATGGCAACCGCACACTTCCGGCGCCGGACCAGTCTGAGCACGCGCGCGCACCCTACCGGCCGGATAGCGCACGCGCACTTCGCCTGCCGCGTTAGAGGCAGCTTCTGCCAGCGAGTGGCCGGGGGCGAGTCTAGAGCGGCCGTGGCAATGCAGCGACCCCTGTAGTCCTGGAGGTGGCTCTAACGTCTTAGGAAAGGTGCTTAAACCTTTCTGGAGAGGTCGGGAGATTGGGTTTATAAATCTCCAGACACCTGTTAACTAATCTCAGCTATACTGAATTCCACCATGAGTTTAGTCCCTACCATCCCACCCCGATCCCTGCCCCGTGTTCATCCATTCAGTTGCTCAAGTCAGACATTAGAGTGTTGTTTCTACCTCCTTTCCACTATCCCCACTGTCCTCCACCCTGACCAAATCATTCCACCAGCTTTCTCTCTGGTGTGCCCACCTTTGGATAGTCCTCTTCAATTTATCCCCTACCAGGAATCCAGAAAGATGCTTCTGTAATAGTATTCAGACCACAGTCCCCTGTTTAAAGTTCAATGACAGCCCTCGGAACACACTCCCAACTTTCTAATATGGCCTATACAGCTTGCATAATTTGGCCCCCTCTGATTTCGGGAGCTCTTTCCCTCTTCTGTAGTCCACAATACCTGTTGCCTGTGGGCATTAATGTTGTTCCTCTCTTGCATATTCTTCCCTAATCTTTTCCCCCATTGTTATTGTTTCTGTTTAAAAGAGGAATCTTCTTGGAATATCGCCTCCTCCATATTTACTGATAGTGACTTTTAAAAATCACCTCTTATTGATGAAAATGTATTGAATGAGTTGGAAATTAATAATGAGTAAGAATGAGTAAATGATTCCAAAAAGAGGAACAAGAAAGTGACTAGAGTTAAAGTGTTTTCAGTTTCAGTGCTGAAATCTCTGACAGATTTGAGTGATTTTTTTTTTTTGGTGGTACGTGCCCCTAGCGGGAACGGAACCAGGACTCTCTGGTCCACAGGCCGAGGCTCAACTGCTGAGCCAAACTGGCCAGGGCTTGAGTGATTTTTCTGAAGCAGAAGGTTACTGGAAGTTTCCAAGTGCCTAACAGAAGGTACTGGACTAGATCAGTGGATTGTTTCAGACTATGCATGCCCCAACCTCCCTCCTGAAGGGATTATTATGAATGGTTTGAAAAAACACCCATATGATTATGATGGGGACCCTCAATGGTGATCCACTGGTCTAAATCATTGTATAGTGTCTCCTTCCCTCCCATCCCCTCCCCTCTCCTCTCCTCCCCTCTATCTCCCCTCTCTTCCCCTCCCCTCTCTCCTCCTCTCCTCCCTTCTGTCTCACCTCTCCTCTTCTCCCCTCCCCTCTCCTCCAGTCTCTCCTCCCCTCTGTCTCTCCTCTCTTCTCCTCTCCACTCCTCTCAATAAATAAATAAATAAATAAATAAATAATAACAACAACAACAAATAAATCATTGCATAGTGCCAGAATATCAGAGGAGGGAAACATCCTCATGGTTCATATCAGGAAACTGAGGCCTCGAATAAGACATGCTAGCCCAAACTGATGTCCCCAAATTCTCAATTTCTCCATATTGCTTCCAACCAATTCTATTGATTTAATTATCCAATCTACAGCACCAATAGAATTTCAAACTTGGGCTCACTTTTAGTCTTCTCTGTTTGAGATTAAATTTGTGCTGAAGAAAACCTATTTCTAAGGTTTGCAGGCTAACACTGAAGGTCTCTGTTCTGTGAGACTTTTAACCTACATGATCACACAGTGCAATCAAATGATATTTAGGCATTCATGCAAATATTTATTGACTACTAATGTATCAGTCATTTATAGGTCTTGGGGATACAGTGATAAATGATCCCTGCCCTCATAGAGCTAATGACAAAAATAGAAATTAATTCACTAATCAAACACAATGCAAACAAATAAACATAAGCTCTAATTTATTTAAAAAAAACACAACAATGTTGTAGGCACTTTTTGTTGGGGTTATGGGAGAAAAGGCTTCTTTGAGGTGTCAGTCTAAGATCTGAAAGTTAGATAAAAATTAGCCAGGAAGCCCAGCCAGTGTGGCTCAGTGGTTGAGCATGACCCATGCACCAAGAGGTCACCGGTTCCATTCCTGGTCAGGGTACCTGCCCAGGTTGTGGGCCAAATCCCCAGTGGGGGGCATGCAGGAGAGGGCCAATCGATGTTATCTCTCATCGATGTTTCTATCTGACTCTACCTCTCCCTTCCTCTCTCTAAAATCAATAAAGAAAAAAATATTTTAAAAAATTAGCCAGGAAAATAGCTGCAGAGTTTCAGGCAGAGGAAACAGCGTGTGCAAAAATCCTGAGGATTAAACCAGAAACATCTATTTCATCCATTCCCTCTGAATATATTTAGTGCATATCAAATTCTTCTAAAGTGCTGCCCAGATATTATTTATTTTTGTTCATATAAAAAGTAAGCCCTGGCCGGTTTTGCTCAGCGGTTAGAGCGTTGGCCCGTGGAGAGTCCCAGGTTCCGTTCCTGCTAAGGTCACATACCTTGGTTGCAGTTTGTCCCTGGCCCCGGTCGGGGTCGTGTGGGAAGCAAGCCACTCTATGTGTCTCTCTCACGTTGATGTTTCTTTCTCTCTCTTCCACCCTCTTCCCTCCTGCTCTATCTGAGGATAACTGCAAAAATGTCAAGTGAGGATAAAAAAAAAAAAGGTAATTTATGCCCGGCCAGTGATGGAGTGTCCACCCATGCACCATGAGGTCACCGGTTCAATTCCTGGTCAGGACAAATGCCCAGGTTGTGGGCCCAATCCCCAGTGGGGAGCATGCAGGAGAGGGCCAGTTGATGTTCTCTCTCATCATTGTTTCTGTCTCTCCCTCTCCCTCTTCCTTCCTTTCTCTCTTTAAAACCAATAAAGAAAAAAAAATTAAAGTAATTTACATTTTTTATTTATTTAAATTAGCAATCCCTGTGAAGTCATTTGCCATTTATTTTTTAATGTTTTTATTGATTTTTTTAGAGAGAGATAAACATTGATATGAGAAACATCAATCAGCTGACTACCGCAAGCCCCCTACTAGGGATCAAGCCAGCAACCCAGGCATGTGCCCTGACTGGAATCTAACCGGGACCCCTCAGTCCATGGCAGATGCTCAATCCAGTAAGCAGTAATTTATAATCTTAGTTGCTGTTACTATACTCAGTAGAAGACCAATTAGGAAAAACTCAGAATTTATTCACCTAAAACTCATCACCTAAACTGCAGTTTCAGGTTGTCACCGGAGCCCTACGTAAAAAGTTTCGTCATGACGTAAGAGCCTGGTCCTCCCTCCTCCTATTGACCTATCCCACTCACTTAGCCAATCACAGTGTGGACCTCTTGGCTTGACACATCCCATCCCCAATGGCAGAACACCTTCTTCCCACCGGGCCACCGAGAGAAAGCCCGCTCCTCGGAGGGAATATCAATAAAGGAGCTATGGGGAGGAATGGAAACCACGGATCTCGCGAGGATGCTTCCTGCGCTCCCCATTTCCCGAGGCGGGACATCACGTGATACGGCCTCGTCCAATCGGCGCGCGGGCTGCGGGGGTCGCCGCGGTTCCCGCCAAATACGAGCGCGACGAGCGCGGCGGCCGCGGCAGCAGCGGCGCGGGCGGGAGGGCGAGCAGGAGCCGCCGCCGCAGGGTAGCCCGCGCCTCCGCCGCCCGAGGAGACCCTGAGCCACCGCCGGGACGATGATGGAAGAGCCAGACTGCGGGGCTCAGGGCGCCAGGGGAGCGGCCTCAGGTTGGTTCAGGCCCGGGAAGGGCTAATGGGGGCGCGGCGAGCGGCCTGTACGGGCCGAAGCTGTTGTTGGGGTTAGACGGGCCTCCCGGCCTAGGGCCACTTCTCTGCTCCTGGTGTTCGGTTCGTGGGGTCGTTGCAATCGCGAGGAAGGGCCTCGCGACCCGAAGGGCGCCCTCCTTGACGTTATTGTTGCGGCAGCAACCATTTTTCCCCCCTGTGCTTTCGCGTTAAGTACGTTCTTCCAGGGCCCTCTACGGTGACCGGTCATTGTGGCCAGGAGAGGAAACTGAGACCCAGGGAGGCGAAAGGTCAGCTCTGCAGGTTCCGTTTGTGTCCTCTGAGCAAGTTGGACCCTGCAGCGACCCTCGGGCTGGGTGGGAAACTGAGGCCCGGGGTCACATGGGCTCGGAGACCAGAACAGCTGCGTCTGGCGGTCAGGGCAAGTCCAGGTAAAAGGCCTGGATGGTGGGGATTGTCAGGAAGCTGGAACTCCCGGATTCTTATCTTGCTGAATATACAAGGTGAAGATCTGTATTTCTCCTCCCAATGTCTTGGGATGTTGGTTTCTGGCACCTAGCAGGTCCTGGAAACAGGGTGGTGAACCAACGAAGACTAGACTGGGGTCTCCCGGGCTTGATTTCCATTTTATCCCCAACTCTTGGCACAATGCTTGGCACATAATAAGTGCCCGCTATATGTTGGTTGACTGAACTAACAATTGGCAGGGACTTCAGTTAGACTAATTCAGGGTTTCTTAACCTCAACTCAAATTGACATTTGGGACCCCCCTGTGTACTTGAGGGTGTCAAGGGGCATCCCTAACCTCCACCCATTAGATGCCAATAGCAACCCCTTCTCCTAAGTTGTGACAACCAAATGTATCCAGGCACTGCCAAGGGCCCCTTGGGGATGGGGGGGAGCAGAACCACTGCTCTAATTGTTTCCAGATTTGGGGATTTCACCAAGTAAAATTCTTATAAAGTTGGGGGGGGGCGATTGTTGCCTATAGTCATTTAACCCAGTAAGAGTGTTTAATTAAAAAGTAAAAAAAAAAACTAAAAAACGCATCACCTGCTATGACAATACTATTACAAAGGGAAAGGATATTTTAATACCATATAGATTTAGGAGGGATGTAATATTAGAATAAAGAGCATTGGTGAGTTTATACACAAATGTGTGTTATTTGTGTATGTGTCTTTGAAC